TTTTTTTTTTTTTTTTTTTTGAAACTGCATGCTTTTATTGACTTTGGTAGGATTATTGGCCCCAAGTCATGGTGAGTTGTTTGTATGGACCTGGGATTTAATCTCCTAGGGGAAGTCTCCTTTTCAGTTCCTTTCCCTTTTCCTGCACTACAAATTTCTTCTTGCATTAGGCATTCCTACCTGCTGTGAAATGTCTTGTCCACCCACAGCTACATCTGATGACACAGAAGACATTGTGTGTTCTCCTGTGCCTGAGAGGCTCTACAGAAAGGTGGAGTGACAGCAGGATGACTGCAGATGATGAAATAAAGATAAGGTATGGTTATCAAGATGCATAGCTAGCAAATTATTTCAGTAGGTTGGGTTTAAATATTTTTTTCTTTTGAGCTTTATTGCAGTCACCGACCTTTTGATTCATGATGAAAAATAATATATATATATAGTCAATTACGGTTCATTGCTTCATTATTTTAGTAATTTTGTTTAGCTTTCTACTTGAATCAGCACAGCACAAGGATAGAGTCATCATTATATATCATATAATGATATATAATTCATATATATCATTATATATATACATATATATCATTATATAGAATAATATATAATATCATTTGGAATAGAGGGCTGGGAAAATACCTCTACCAAAGAACTAGTAGGTTGGGAAGAAATATATTGTATTGGCTATGATCAGTTACGCCCAAAGCGTGAAGGAAGTAAATGCTATCCATGTCTTCTGGCAATGTTGTGCCCTCAGCTGCTGTTACAGTTTCAAAATAATCCTCATCTGGGTGGAAGAAAACTACTTCTGCTTTTCCTTGGAGTGGCTGTTGTCCTCTTGTTCCTCTGTGTGATGTGCACCACGGAGGAAGGAACTAAAGGAACTTACTGCAGATGTTTTTCCATCTTACCAAGTCCAAAATTCACTTTCAGAGCAGCCCTGTATAGTCACAAAGCTGTACCTGGTTAAAAGATTCTTGTGACATTGTTATTAGAAATTGCTGCAGCAACAACTTGCCAAATGAACCGTTAAAAGCAAACCAGGGTCAGTGAACCACAAGAAAATTCATTACAGGCTGCTTGGGGCAACACATGGTCTTTGAAGGTCTTTCTCATTTTAACCATTCATCTCTTCCAGTATCTGTGACAGAGCCCTCCACCTCTCTTTTGATCTCACTTGCATGTAAAGAGCCATTTCAAAATGGCAAATTCCTCTTAGTGACAAGCTCCTTTGGTGGAATCAGACAAGTCTACTGACATGCAGAAACGGGACTTAGAGGGGAAAACCACCTTTTTACTATTAAAGAAAAGGGTATGTTCTTTCTGCTTTGGGAACTCTTGAGTCTTTTTGGCTCTTGCTCTCCCCCGTGAACTCTGAGTACCTCCTTTGAGGCTGAAGTTTCAGAGGTGCTAAAGCATTTTCTCTTCAGCTGATGAGAAAGGAGGTCCAGAACTGATTCCTGTCAATAGAGGAGCCACAGTTGGAGCCCACTGTGTGAAATACCAGCAGTAGCTTGCCTGTGCCCCAGAGCCTGTGCCAACACTGCCATCTAGCTTCTGCTTTTGCTTCACTGCAGTTGCTCACGTTCGTGTGTTACACAGCTTTATTGCCCCTGATGGTGAGTCACGGTCCTGTGACATTGACTTCTGCTCAAGTACATGGGTTCATTCCCACAAAAACGTTTGAAGCGGTCGCAGCAGGGCTGAGTGATGGCAGACGGCTGCAGCAAACAGTAGAGGAGACCTGAAGTGTCCGTGCGGCAAGAAACTCCCAGCCTGTATTTGCAGAGAGGGAACTGAAACTCGTCTGTCCAAATTGTTACAGGATTTTTGGCAGCACCACAACTCAGGCAAACCCATCTTAAGTCTGTTGAGTGTTTCCAGTCACAAAGCACTGATAGTGTCCTCAGACATGGTACTCTGACAGGTCACCTTCCTTTGGGCTCAATGCTGTCTTCTGCTCTCCTGCGCCTCTCTCCTACCCTTATCCGTCTGTGTCTCATACTATGCATAAATCTTTTTTTCGTCTTTCACCACAAAATTTGTAGCTTTGGCTTCTTGGTCTGTGATGACCTGGGAGCTACTTGTAGTCCTAAGTACTGTCTTTAGGTTTTTATGCATCTTGGTTGGAAAAGACCTTGAAGCTCTTCCAGTCCAACCATGAGCCTCCCCCTGACCCTTCCCAACTCCCCCAGATCCCTC